CTTGCTCCAGGGCTCGGAATACTGTTTCCCCACAGTGTTACCACACAAGGTAAGGTGTGTCACAGGATCAAGGACACTTGTCATCTGTCTGAAGATGTCTGAATAGAATCACCCTACCTTATTTCTGGGTTCTTCCTAATCACAAACACACTGCTCTAAAGAATGGCCCCTGCTGAATCAGGGGGAGGGAAGATTTTTGACTCCTGAAGAATGGCAGGGAGAATGTGGAATATCAAAGCTGAAAGGGAGCCATACCTGTAGCTGGAGCTTTGACTCTCATTCCCACTCCGAGAAAGCACAGCAAAGCTATTGCAACAGGGTCACACTAAGGTAAGCTCTTGGAGTCTTCTCTGCTGGCTGCTGGATCTGAGCTACCTCTTCCTCTCCTTGCAAACAGGAGGCCACTTCCATGGATAGGGATCTTTGTGCTCAAGACTGGAGCTGCAATGAACAGTCACTGGCTACCTACCTACTTGCCTCAGGTAAAAATTCTTCTCCCTGAACCACCCAAATTAGGGCATTGGGCTAATCTCACAGCACCTTAAATCTCAGTCATTTACATGTGAAATGAAATTATCTTCAGGTTTCTGGTTATGGAGTCCCTTTAAGCTTTGACATTCCACATTCTACCTGCCATTCTTCAGGAGTGAGGCAGGTGCATTACTAGGGCAGAAAATGGACCTGTCACAAGGGGTACCCGGAAAGTGGGAGAGTATACTCCTGAGGCTTTTATGGGGTGAGTGGAACCGGTCAGAGAGTCAGGAGGAGGGGTGTGGGAGGGACTTAAGACTTCTGAGACTCAACTAACTGAAGACTAAATCTAAGCACATGCACACCCAAATGATGCACCTGCCTCACCCAGAAAGATTTCAAATGAAAATAATTTTAAGCGCCTCCTCCAAATGTTCACCAAAAGAATCTTTAAAACACTTCAATTCATCAATTAGTAATCTCTCCCTTCAAAGGAATTAACTGTAGGGCCTAGGCCACCCCAGGAGACTTTCCTAAATCTACACTAAGAGCAACCTGCCATCTTTATTTCTTATACCCAATCCCCACCTCAGCGGTTCTCAGCCGTGGGGAGCTTTTCCAAGGCCAGGTGTCTACCTCTCATCTGGGCCCACTGATTAAACCAGAATCTCTGGGGTTTGACCCAAGCAGCATTTTTGCAACATCCCAGATAATTCTCACACACAACCAAGAATGACAAGTTGGGAAAGATATGCTTATGATGCCAGGAAGGGAAAGTACAAAATTCAAAAGAAAAACAGCTGTGGATGGGGTCGGTGGGGGCATGGTGGAGACAGTTCCACATGGTGGCCCCAAGAAACCAGAGTGGGCTGGACTGGGGTGCTCACTTCTCCCCCTCCCCCAACCCTTGGCAGAGCTGCAGGAAGAAATCAAGGGTGCACTGCAGAGCCGTTGAGCGCTGTCTCAGGCTTCTGCCCTGCTAACGATTGCATCTTCCTAAGGCTCGGGCACCTTCTTAGCAGCCTTCTTTCAGCCACATTCAGTGCCGAAGGGAAGGGGGCAGGGCAGTGAGTGAGCGGGAGAACAGGCTGCTGCTCAGTGAGATGGAACGAGGGGCCCTTTGTGATGGGGAAGCTGGATGTGGTGGTTAATTTCTTAATTCTCATCACAATTCGGTTCACGGGAGCCTCCTGGAATGTCTTTATCCATCACAGATGGTTTGGGAAAATGATAAATTAATATTGCTATCAATGGAGGCATGGCTGAGATGGTTAAATGGCAACGTCTTCTTTGCAGGCTATAAAAAGAAAGTGCCTCCGCAGTCCATAAAGAAGTCAAATGGTAAACAAAAACTCCTATCTTTTGACAGATTCCAGGACGAGTATCATTCACAAACCATTCTGCAGAGAAAAGGGGAGAAATTCATCTCATCTGACTTTGTATAGGACAACAGCCCACACCATAATGAGGCTGGCCCGGCGCTGTGAAATCGTGCGAAATCGTGCTGAATAGCTGAGAGTGCAGCGGCCTGTTCCCTGGGCATGTTTATTACAGCCCTTTGTATGCACCAACCCTGCCAGTCCCGGTTTGCTCCTAAGCTAGGGGAGGGGAGAAAGACCCCAACAAATTTGTTGCTATGAAACTTCCCAAATGGGGAGACTGCATAGTAATGTTTGGAATAAAATGCCCTTGCTCCAAGCTGTTCTTGTCTGGGTCCACCCCTGCTCGACACTGAACAAGGTCTTGAGCCAGCCAATCACCAACAGTGTATGGGTGGCCTCGGCCCCCTGCCCGGGCCCCTCCCAGGCCCTGAGAAGTCAGGGGGTAAAGAGGGCCCCACAGCCATTTGTGAGCCACCTTGGGAGTTGAGAGCCAGTTGTCCCAATTCCTCTGTGAAATTAATGTAAAGCAAAGAAGTGGAGCCTTCCTGTGAGGACATAGGATGGGGCTCCCCAGGGGCACTCTCAGAGGCTAGGGCAAGGGACAGAATGTTACCCACAAGATCTGGACTCCCCAGAGAACAAGCTGCCGAAAGAGGACAAAACTGGGGGCCAACAAGCTTGCATGCAAGGAACTACTGCTTAAACTGTATGGCCCTAGAGGACAGGCAAAAGGGTCCCACATGGTGGCAGAGAGAGGTGGGTGTTTTGACCAGGAGACTCAGAGGCACACATCTCCCCACCCAGCATGCAAGCTGCTCCTAAATCCTAAAGCTGCTTCCTGCCATGATCACCAGGCTAATTTTTGGCAAGAAGTATCCACAAAGGTATTCAAAGTTCCCACATCCCCTAAGGAGGAGATCCTGGGAAAGGGAAGAGCTGGAGGTAGAGAGTGAGAACTCTCAAGGGATTCCTTCTCCATCCATCAGATGGCTAGTGTTGTCACATTTCTGCCCCTGGGTTGGAAAGCAGCCTCTTCTTGCCAATCATGAAGCAGGGTCTCTTTTCAGACTATACTTTTCCTGGCCAATCATGATGCAGGATCGGGGAGCGCTCTCTTTCCTTACCAAGGTGTGGGGCTCCGCAATCACACTGCCTTTCTTCCAGACACCCTTTGCTGTCTCCCCCTGACCAGGATCCATCCTTAGCTTCTCCCCACCCCAAGTTGTTCTTGGGTTCCCACCAAGGCTGGGGACAGGACTACAACTGAAGACAGCCACCTGGGTTGGCTACAGCATTTGAAGTTACAGAACAGAAACACCCCCTCCTCTGTCTGTACCTGCCCCACTCCCAGCCCCAGCTGGCAAAGGAAGATGAGTATCTCTGCCCCAGTAGGAAAACCCAGCAGGGTAGGAGGTAGCCAGCATCTTTCCTCATGATGAACATGGACCTTCCTGCTCTAGGGCACAGCACTACCCACTGAAGTGGCTGTCCCTGGTTAAACTTCTTGGCCAAATGACCAATAAATCTGTGTCAGCCGATTGTTTACAAGATCCTAGCTTCCATCTCTTCTATAAAAAAGAGACAGCAGACTCTTTGCATCTAGGCAAAGGAGTTGTGTATGTTCCAACTCTGTTTTCTGAAGTCTCTAAACCATCTCTCCAGTCCACGCCTGCTCACACCTTCCTGACAGTGTAGAACTTCCTTGGGCCTCACTCTGGGCCACCTGCCCATTCTCAGTTTCTCTGGGCATTCTCTCCCGAATCTGTTGTCTCTCTGATTTGGAAATAGCCCTGGCACCTTTGTGCTCAAATTCTCTTGACAACCAACAAAGGTAGTCAATGGCCACAGATATGGAATGAGAGCTTGTCTACATCTCGAGAGAGACCTTACTCATCTGTACATGTGGAGTCCAGGAGTTCTCTCTCAAGAGGAGAGAGTCTGCAAAGCCAGTGGGTTTTGTGTTGCAGTTTGGTTATCAAGGAAGTGTTCTCTGTACACGCAGACATGATCAGAAGGGCACACTCCTGGTTGAAGGTCTGCCATTGTTTTTTGAAATTCATCATCATCTTTGCATAAAGAACCCTGTATTTTCATTTTGCATTGGATCCCTGGAGTTCTATAGTCGTTCTTCACATAGGCGTCCCAACATCTGGTGTTTTTCCCTTTATGAAGACAGCACCTCTCCTTCATTCAGAGACTGAGAAGAATGAAGGACGGGTCATTCACTGTAGTTGCTCACCCAAGCTATCTGCCATGCTTTACACCCTCCTGGATCGGGGTCCCTAAAGGAGCCCTCAGATGTAAACATGCTCAGACATGCTCTAGGCCCAGTCCCCAACATCAGAGAAAGAATTCCCAAAAACTAATGGAATGTGTGTGGGGGGGGGGGGGTGGCTGTTGCTACTTTTCACCTCACCTCATTCAGTTCCCTGGCATTTCATCAGCTCCTCTGAGTCCTCTGACCATTGCTTGCTTCATTTTTGTTGGTGAGAGAAAAACAAACAGCAGAAAGTTAAAACATTAATGCTTGCTTCGGTGAACAAAAATAGTTGCCCGTCTCCTTTTAATTTTTTTGTCCTAAAAAGTAAAGCTATTTGCAGATGGATTAAATGTTCCTTCTGAGACCCTGATCCTGAAACTGCCAACCTCACTGCAACTGAGTATGTGTCTCTGTGTGATGGGGGTGGAGGCAGTACACACACATCCAAAGGAGTGTGTCTGCGAGGGATTGGAAAAAGAGGGTCCTTTGTCCCAACAACGGTAAGCCTGGTGAACATGACTCTCTTTCCTCTGGTATGCAGCACACCTGTGCTGAGGAGAAGCTGAGGAGGAGGGAGGCAAAGGGGGAAGCGTTGGGAGCCCTGCCCTGCACCCTCATAAGGCATTGCACCTTCTACTTTCTTCTTTGAGCTGTGTCTCCATTGCCCTGTTGTTTTGGCTTACACCTCCAAATACCAGGGAGGCCTAGAGAGAAACAAGAGAAAGAGACTGTGTGTGTGTGTGTGTGTGTGTGTGTGTGTACACCCCTGGATGCTTTGGTCTACTCCACTTTGTAATGTATCTTGAAAAAAATTAAAAAGGAGAAGGGGAAGAGAGGGAACCCAGTGTCCCTGAAAAATCCCTGCTCCCTGACCCAAGACAACCTACCTTTGCAAGCCTTCCGGTGGGTGATGGGCTTGCCCATGTCTCGGTAGAAGCCCTCCTTGCAGTAGTGGCAGTGGCGGGCCGCCGGATTTTGGGGGCAGGTGGGACAGACACCCCCACTCTTGCGCCCTGACAGCTTGTAGAGCTCCATGTTGAATCTGCAGCGCCTAGCGTGGAGGTTGCAGTTGCAGGCTGCAGGGGAAAACAGAAAGAAGCCATCAGCACAAGGGGATGGGAAGGCCAACACCCTAGAAAGAGGTCCATCCCAGGTCTCCCTCCATCTCCTGGCAGGACAGTCCTATGTTCTGGGAGCCTTTCCTTAGCTTCCTCATGGCCACAGTACCACACTGAGGCCTCCTGAAATCCATGTGTTAAAGTCTTCCCCACACCATGATCTTGAACTTTCAACTTCCAGAGCTGGGAGAAATAAATGTGTTTAAGTCCCTCAGTGGGAACAGTGGGAACAGACCATTCCTCTGCCACCAGGGACTCTGGAGTCAACTGCCCCTCTCCACCCCACCATCCAGCACCACAGAAGACCCCCCCCCAGTTTTCCTCTCTATGGTTCTTCCCTGCCCGTTCCACTTCCTTTCACTTCCCAGGTCTGTGCACTAGCTCGGAAGTCAGCACCTCACGCTGCCTGCCCTGATGTCCTTGGGACCTACCTCCTGCATCTCATACCACCTCTCCGCTCATGAGCCACAAACCCTCACTTACAGCTCCAAGTCTGGGGTCTCTACTTGGACCCAGAAGTGTTGCCCTCCCTTGCCGCCCCCCCCCACGCCTGCCCCGGCCCCTCTGCCCCTTCCTCTCCATCCTGCCTCTGTCAGCCTGTATCTGCAGAATTCAATCAACTAACTGGAACCAAAATATCTGGGGGGAAATTGCATCTATACTGAAATGTACAATTTTTACATTTTACTGGGCAGTATAAGCCACCTAGAGATTAGTTCTAATAAGGAGTTTCATTTACACAGCCATAGGAGGATGGGTGTACGCTATGTGCAAACACAATGCCACTTTACAGAGGGGATTCCATGATGGAATTCCTGTGTCTTCAGGGAGTTCTATGGTGACTTCACAGAGACAACTGCGACCAGAACGGGGTTTCTAAGCACCAACCTGAGGGTGTCCATAAGGACAAAGTCAAAATCATTTAGCACAGCCTTGGTGCTCTTAACAGGCAAGACCTACTCACTGTATCTTCAGGCTCCCACTCTGTCCTACTTCATTTATTCATTTTCCAGACCATGACAAGTGTGGGGGTGTCCCTCCCCCTCCAAGGCCAGCATGTATTCCTTTCCTCTAGGACGACCCTTCTTCATGTGGCTACAGCTGCGTTACCATCCAGGGGGTACAAACTCAGTGTCATTTCCAAGCTCAGCTCTAGCCCTTGCTTGGCAGAGACCCCCAGCATGTTCCCCAAAGGGCTCTCTCTACTTCACGCTAAGATCAACCCCTCCCCCACAGCTGCTTTCTCTGGGCTTCAGACTCTAGGATACTGCCAGCTGCAAGCCAACCACACTGGATCACTCTCAGACACACCTTACCCTCCGTTTTTTAAACTTACATAACGGCAAGCATCATCATGACATTTTTGCACGTGGCACACGGCATGCTTTAATCATATTCACTCTGTCCTGTTCTATGCACATTTTATGGAATTTCTAAAGAAATGTGTAATGTCATACACTGCAAAGCAAAAGCAAAAAGGGAAAAGTTCACTCACGTTTCCACAAACCACAGTGAGCACAACGGCTTTATGTTGGCCCCAGCCATGGGACTATTTCATATTTTCTAGAAATAAGGGTCATACCTGTCTGCATCTAGCCTTGTAGCCTTTTTTTCCCCAGGATGAACAATCGTTAGTGTCAAATATGGCTTAATATGGGTCTTCAGTGAGAGATGGATGGACTCGCTGAGCAAGCTGTTCTCTGCAGCTCAGGGTTAATGGGTGAGCCACCTTTGAACATGCACATCTACTGATGGACAGTGCATTCCTCAAGGCAGAGTGCCGAGTTAAAGTTTGGATCTCCGTATTTTTAACATTGGATCGAAAACTCCAAGTTGCCCTCAAGGAAGGCTGAACTGGCTTTGCCTCTTTCTAGCAGGAAGTGACAGCTCTTATTTCACCACACCCTTGAAAAGAAGAACAACACACATTTGGTGTCAGCATTAAAAAAAAAAAGTTTACAAACTGTCTGGGGAAAAGGCCGAACATGATATTTACTTGTGTCTATGATTACAGAAGAGGGGGTATTATCTTCTTGTGTCTCCACCATGGCCCAATTTTCTGCTCTCTATGGTTGGCTTAAAACATTTGCCTTTTCTACTATATAAGCTGTAAATGGTTTTACTGGATGCTATTTTTACTTGTGATTTTTTTTTTTCTTTACAACTGTGCCACTTTGATTTTGCTCTCTGGTGTTACAGGCGTCCTTAAATGTTCTTCCAAGAGCCATTCCCCAAATCATGTGCCCATTAGTCACTCAAATGGGTGACTAATAGTCAAGCAGAGGTAGAGGAGGGCTTTGGTGGGGGTATCAAGGTACCACCTGTCCTTTAGTCCAAAAGCAGCTGGAATCCGGTTTGGACTGGAGAACAACTCTGACTTCCAAGAACTGAAGTGTTCTTGAGCAGGTATCCCCAAGGGATGATCTGAAACAGACACACAGAAGCTGCATCTCCACCCCACACTCAGTTAGACAAGAGATAGGACTTACTCAGAGACATGTGGGAACCAACCAGCCAGCACTTAGAAGTCAGTGAGTAGAGCCCTGGCCTGCAGCAGGTTGGTCTTCCTGCTGTTAGACTGCCTCAGAGAAGATGACCAGCATCACCATACAGGACGGGTGAACCTGAACTCAGGCCAGAACTTGGATCTTTCCTGCAAGAACAGAAACTCCAAGACCTGGTGTACCTGCCCAGGACCAGGAATCTGCAAGGATCCTGGGTCTCACTCCCCTTAGGCCTCCCCTGTATACAGAAAGGTCTCATAGCAGCATCTTTTGGTCCTTCTTGGGGGCACACACATCCCCATGCCCCGCTCTAGCTGTCCAGCATCCCACAGGCCTTCTAGGAGTATGAGGCTGCCTTCCATAACCCTTGGGAAAGCTCAAGCTATCCTTCCATGAACACCTCACACCAACAAAAGGTTCTTTGCAAAAAACTGGTCATACAAAAGAAAACTCCAAGGCTAACATCAAAAAGCACCCCCTACCCCCCCTTGGGGCTGTCAGGGGACATCAAGTGATAATTACCCATGCTCAGACTTCTGCAAAGTATTTTACAGCTTGTTTTCTTTTCTCTTTGTTTTATTTTCTCTACGCAAACGGAAAAATGCATTGGACAAAGTGGCTCACATCTGGATCCCTCAGGTCCACAAAGAGGTGTCACCCAACTCTCACCAACCGCAGGCCTTGCCTCAGAGAGACACCCTAATCCCTCATGCTTTCCTGTTTATCTCCTCCTTCTCTCCCAAGCAAAAATATTGGGTATTAGTTTCATTATCAGATTTCAAGGCGGGAAGGAAAGGGCAGCCTTGTAAGAACAGAGGTCAACCCAGGAGAGACAGGGTAGGGGGGAGCAGAGACCCTCCTGGGGGACCAGCCTGGCCCAGATCAAGGAGCCCTGCACCACTGGTATGACTTAGTAGTTTATCTGGGTATCCAGATAAACTCAGCTATGTCCCTGCTAGCTAGCATGTTGAGATAAGTCAGATTCATCTTGCGTAGCTGTTATCTCGGGGTCCCAAGGAAAGGCAGGAAGGAGTAAGAAGAGCAAGGACTCCCCAGCTTCACCCCCCCCCAACCAGAAACCCAACAGAAAGAGAAAGGGAACCAAGAGCCAAACATCCTCTGAGTCCTTAACTTCCAACTTGAAGCCATTTCATGCATCTCTCCTGTCAACTGAACTTACCCAGCCCCTGGACACCTGCAGCTGAGTTATATTCAACACACATACATATACACTAGCTGCATGCTAGTCCATGCATGAACTGTGTGAGATACAGAGGCAGGGGCTGGAGAACTGCCCAAGGGGGCTCCTCTCTTAACAGATGAAATGGTCGAACAGAGGAGCACACATTGATCAAGTGGGACGGATGCTCTTAATCAACTTTGTTGCTTCACTGGGGACAAGGAGAGGGTTTGATCTACTAAGCCCACAGCAAGCCTTGATTACATTTTTGCTGTACAACTGAGAGAAAGCAAACACTCAAGAGAGAAGATGCATGCAGGGACGGATAATGAATGGGTATGGGTGGGAGAATTAATTGATGGGTGAGTAGATGGATGGATGGGGTAGATGGGGAGATAGATGAACAGGTTGATGGATGGACCCATGGGACGAATGAGTGAGATGAATTGGTGGATGAAATGGATGGATGGAAAGGTGGATGGGGTGGCTGAATGAATGGGTATGTGGATGGTGAGGCAAGCAGGAAGGTCAGAAAGTAGATAGGTAGGACCAAGAAGATTTGCTGCCTAGCCCTCGTCCCAAAGGCATAGTCTTGTAATTTTCCTGTAGTCTTGCTTTGAACTAATTTAAACTAATCTTTGTACTTTGATATAACAATTTAATTCCACTTAGATAGACTTCAGTAGTTTAGCGAAAAGAACCTTTATTTATATGCCATGGACTTTCTCTAGGGCTCTGAATACAGGGAAGTGAGTCTCAGCTATTTGATGAGTTTACAAAAAAAAAAAAAATAGGTGTATTGATTCTCTCCACAAAACACCTGATAAATTAAGACACATGCCTACCAAGACTATCCCAGGTCCAGAAAGCACCCAGCAGCATTGTTAATTCATAATGTGACCCTGACTCTTCCTCTCTGGAGCAGTTCTTTTGAGAAACTTGTCTGTGTTCTTTATACAATTGGTAATAGAATTCTGGGCTTACCTGCCTGCCTCTGGGCTGACAAAAATAACCCACAAAACACTATCCGCAGGCTGAGTGCTTTCTTTCCATTTACTTATTCTTGTTTTTGTTTTTGTTTTTGAGGCAGGGTCTCACTATGCAGTTCAGCTCTAGCTGTCCCATAACTCACTATGTAGATCAGGCTGGCCTTGAACTCACAGAAATCCACCTGCCTCTGCCTCCCAAGTGCAGGGATTAAGGGCATGAGCCACCACCAGATTAGGTATTTTCTATAAAAGAAACTGCTCCCCACCCTGAGCTCTCTGTGATCCCTCAGAGGCACATTTCAAAGCATATATATCAGTCAAACATGGTCAGCACTTCTGGGTTCCCTCATTGTTCCTGGGCATGCTATGTAAAGAAAAAGAAACCTACTCTGGCTTGATTTTAGGAGGTCCAGAAGCAAGCAAGACAGAGTCCTGCCTCGTAGTGCGTCTATTCCCAGAGGGAAGACAGGTCCATGAAAGACCGGGGATCTCTCAGCTATAGGCAGAGCTGCTGGGATAGTCAGTCAGGAGATAGTCATCTTCCTGGGTCCATCTGGGACCAGGACAGGACCTGGAAGGAGAGCCAGAGACTGGCCAGGACGCTCTACCTTCACGGTTCCCACTGCCTCTGCATACCAGTCCAGCTGGGGATGCATGCAGATGCTTCTCTTTCTCTGAGATAAAGTATAACTGTCTATCCCAGGCTGGCCTTGAATTTGTGGTGATCTCCAGCCTCAGCCCTCCAAGTGCTGGGATTGTAAGTATGCATCCCTATGCCAAGTTCCAGATGTAGCCCCCTTTCTCTCTGGCTTCAAACTCACTATGTAGCCAAGGGTGGTGTCCTTCCACCTTCTGATCCTCCTGCCTCTTCTTCTAGGATTATAGGCTGGTGTCTGCCACCATACACAGTGTATGCAGTGCTGGGGACAGAACCCAAAGCTGTCTGCATGCTGGACAAGCACTCACTCTACAAACTGAACAACAGCCCCAGTTCCTGCAGATGTATGTCTGACAAACTCCCAGGCCACGCTGCTGCCTCTGGCCTGTGGATTTGTGTTGACTGATGGAACCAAACAGGTAAAGAAACCAGTTGGACTGTCGCCCTGTGGAGAAAGTGCCTTGTAGCAAGGTGAGGGTGGTGCTTACAGCAGGGGTCCTGTGAGGAGGCAGTGGACAGAGCTCTAGCTTCATTTAAAAAACAAACAAACAAAAAACAAAAACAAAACAACAAAAAAACCTTCTTAATTAATTGGTGCAGTCATAAAAATATTTGAGAACTATTTTAAGAATTGGAGGCTACTCCTATTCTCTTTTATTTATGACCTTGCTACTCTATTTACTTAGAAATTGGCTGTTCCTTGTTTATGAATTGTAACCATTCCTCCTACAGTAAGTGTCTTCTGAGCCTAGTTTGTGGCAACTCCTAAAAGGTCCGGCTGAGCAACCCTGACTGCACACACCTGGCACCTGTCTGTACCCAGCAATGGTGCTGAGCTGAGCTCTCCCAGGC